TAGGGCTAAATAGTTGTGCACAAGCTGATTCTTACAGTATCGAGTAATCATTTATTGATTCTTTGTCACCGTAAGTGACATTTTTTGCCTCTGCCACTTTTAAGAGAGAATAAATAGCTCTACTTGACTTATTCAGTCCAATTTCCGTCTAGGATATTCTATTCTATCTTTAAGCTATCAGAATTTCTGGCTCTATTTTATACTCAACCTTATTTTTATATGACAAATTCATTCGTTATCACTTGAATGTAGAAGAATATTTCTCATTTTGTCTATTTGTTCATCATTTCACTCAAGGGTTATCAAATAAAGACTTCTTAACAAATTCTACTTGAGGACAGTTATCATTCGCGTGGTGGCTGTCCGGTCTCTGAACCCTATTTTCATTTTAAAAAAAGGAGTATTACTTATTTCATCTTCATGTGAACATAATGTATTCGTTAGTGTTTTTCATAACCGATATCTTTACAGACATACTCCAGTCGCTTTAATCAAGCAGCATTTCAAGAAAGAGCAAACGCTTTGGCTTGCGAATTCTCTAATTCTTTCACATTTCGCATGTTATTCATGTTGTCAATAGCGACAAGCCATCAGTCATTTAATTTGTCTATCCAGAGTTGTGACTAAATTTTTTTGGACAAAATTCATAGATTCTATGCTGTTTATCTATCACATTGTACATTTATTTTAAACTGGCATTGTGTGGCAATACAATTTATCTTAAGTATACGTGTGATTTGTATTCCTATTTTTGATAAAACTATATTTTAAAATATTCCTATTTTCAGCTGATCTAGCTTAATATGACACCATTAAATACATGAAATATATTGACATAATTTTGTATCATATACTTTGTCATTACTAGAACCTGTTGAAATTATTCTTTTGTATTCGTTGATTTCTAAATGATTGGGTAGACATTTATCATTGTTATCATATCCTATCGCTTGTCTTTTTACAATTTATTTAAACATTCCTGTCTTCATCACTTCTATGGTCATTGACAATTGTTGGGCTTCTAAAAGGATACGATTTATCAATTTTGAGATTCATTATTCTTAAATAAAATTTCTTGCAAAGCACATCCTGCACTAAAAAGTATATTTTAATTTTTGTTGATTATTTATTTAAGATATTTTTTAAATTTCCTTATAAAGAATTACTATAGCGCTTTAATTTACATTTTAATACAATCTTTCCTTTACATAAATATAACTTGGGAGGCTATGCTTATCCTTTCTTTCAAACTGAACATCTGTAAATTCAACTACCCCTTCTTACATATGCATTGCGTTTGATTTTCATAAGTTGTTTGTGAAATTGACACTACTGATCCTAACACAAATCATTACATACGAGCTACACTCACTCGGTCACATTCAGTACACGATTTTTTATATTATATCATCATTAATTAATTTATTTATTTTGAACATTTTGTCGGTAGCTTACTAAATACAAATCCCATTATGCAGTCTAGATTTACTAAATACATGGACGATACACATTAAAAATGAATTTGCTAAAAGTGAATTCTTAACCACATTTTAATTTCTAGCATCATTGCTTGTTTATTTCTTAGGGTGTCACAATGCGCTGCCGCATTAGCCGTGATAAGCGTGGCGTCGATCGCGGAATCTATCCTACCTACTTTTTGCATTTGGAAAGAGAGGATGATCGTCGTTTTTTCCTACTAGCAGCTCGTCGACGGAAGCGTTCAGCCACCAGCAATTACTTAATATCCTGTGACGCTACCGATCTGTCACGTGATGGCGATGCTTATGTCGGCAAATTGAGGGCCAATTTTCTTGGCACTCAATTCATCATTTACGGTAATGGTCGGTCCAGTCAACCTTTAGCATCTCCGACTTCTGATTTGATAACTGGAATACTCCGTTCCAGCACAGACGACTCAACTGTTGCGGTAATAGAAGAGAACAAGACTCTGAGTCCTGCTCAACTGGCTGGAGGCAAGTCAAGAACTAATGGAATTCACAGTAGCGTCTGCAGTAGCGCCAGTAGTAATGGAGAGAGTGCTAAGGCAGCACTCTCTTCCTCAAGTTCTACAGAAATCAGCACCCCTGGACACGTTAGTGATTCAGGCGAACAGAGGAGAGAGTTAGCCGCTATACTCTATGTAGGTCTGCTTGTCTAACCAAATAGTTTGGCTTTTTTCTA